AGTTAGGCATCAGCTTGAAATAGTAACCAGATGGGATGCATAGGAATGGACGGTGAACCATTAAGCTGACAAATGACAAATAAGATGATTGACGCGTGATTTAATATTTAGTAGACGAGATTTTAATGTAATAAATCGCTCAAATGATGGTATTGAAAAAACGAAGGCGTGATATTTTATTTGTATCCAGTCCCTTTGCAAAGCAGTGGTGCTGCTGAACCGTTTTTTTTTCCTTTTATTTAGTTACGTAGTATACTTGCCAAACTTTAAAACCACACAACGAAAGTGCCTTTGTCCCGTGGTTTGGTCCACATTTAACCCTGATATCGAGGCAGAGTGTACAAGCAAAAGAAGAATTATGAAAGTGACAAAACTTGAAATTTGGCTTAAATCACCCCAAGTGTGTCATGAGTATGAAGCTATATCTGGTGTTCCCACACCCAAATCAATCTTTTCTCCTTCCTCTGGGCTTTTTGGACCAAATACGACCATTTTATACAATTCCATTTTTACCCAGAAGAAGTTACTAAGAAACCAACGGAGCCTGTTATCGAAACAAAGTTCAGCGGTTGTTTAACAAAACCGCGTTCAAAACTTTCTTCAATTTAGTGGAACCTTTTATCTGAACGGTTATTTTTGTGAATATTATTAAGAGGGCCGAACCTAACACGGGAAAGACATTTATTTCATTAAATCAACCCTCTTATAGAGAATACCTAGGGGCTAAACTCACTGCCTGCGTAAAACCGCGGTTTGGGTTAGACCTCCTTAAAATATCCGGCGCACTTTTAAAGCAGGAATCAACTTGTGTGCGACTGGGTAAGTGTAAGTTTCAGTTGATTCGTTTGTATTCTAACGTGCATCCTTGTTTGTAGCACCCAAAATTTCGGAAAAATTAGCGCGCGCCCTTAATATAACGCAACCAAACAAAGCTGTCGTCACAAGATCACGCTCCAAAGGAATATTTAGTCGATGCCTGTTCCAAACTTATGGCCATACCATAAAACAAACACAAGTAACTTCCAGCCATCTTGACTAAAAAAGCTCGGTCAATAAAGAATCTTTTATAAAGCAGAGATTTGGTTATATTAAAAACTAACAACTCAGTGACTTGCTTAATAAGAGAGCCGGGAAAGAAAGCCAAATGTGTTTGCAGTACAACAAACCAGCGATAGTATTATTTTTGCATTTTCTTCGTTTTGACTGTCTTCTGCCGTTTTTTGCGACTTCATCACCAAAATTG